CCCCCCCCCACCCACCGACCCACCCACCCACCCACCCACCCACCCACCCACCCACCCACCCACCCACCCCCCTACCCACCACCACAACAACAACAACAACCACCACAACAACAACCACAACCACCGCCACAAGCACCAACAACAACAAATGCCACGAGCCACTGCGCATGTAGGTAGGCAGGCAGGCAGGCAGGTAGGCAGGTAGGCAGGTAGGCCGGTCGGTCGGCCGGTCGGTCGGCCGGTCGGTGTCATGGAAGTTACAAGCAGCAGCAGCAGCAGCAGCAGCAGCAGCAGCTGCAAATGCAACACTATGCGAATCGCGAGGAACAACCATGACCATCTTTGAGCAACTTTATGCCCGATAGCAAGAAACCCACAGCACACCGGCAATACCCAAATACATACCAATACCACGGCACTAGCAGTATAACATTGTTTGCTCAGAGCAGGTCCTCTTCCATTGTATATTTCCTTATTGCACCTGAACGCAATGATCGGGTCTTGGAAATCAGAACGCTGCTCATGTCAGCTCGTGCAACCGATTCTTGATATACGGCTGCATCTGGCTGTGTTTGAGCAGGTTTCCGACTGTTGCACCCCTCCGGATTGGTGACAAAGGCTGTCGCCGCCGTGTTGGCCCCGCGTAATTAGGCCCCCACATCCTCTCGGCCCTGAACCCGCCCAGATTCTGGGGCTTCCGAATTGGCAACTGGAAAACACCCGCCGAAGCCGAGGCTGAAGAACTCAAAGCCATCGGTGTTTTCAGCTTCTGTACACAGAAGCACCAGAAGAACCTGAAAAGCCCCGACTCCCAGATTGCAGATCGGGCACCAAAGCAACGGTCTGCAAAATGATGGGGACCGTCCCGTAAAGGAAAAACGGCTTGTCGGAGATGCACCTTCTCTGAGAAGCAGGTGGGTTCTGGGGTCCTATATATGTCCTACAACCTTTGATGCAAAATCAGCTATTCCCCTAGAAACTCAGTTGAAACAAGGGTTTCGAGGCGGTAGATGCATATTGGTGCAGATGCTGTCAGTATTTAATACTGTTAAGTACAGAACGTCGAGGCCCTTAGTCTGTTTGCATGTCCCTGATGTCTCTTCGAAGCCCCGGTCTCATCTGAGTATACGCCCCTGACCGGAAACCTGAGCCCTAGAAGCCTTAAGTACCAAGCGTTGAAGCCCAAAAATCTAGGGCCCTACGACCGTCGGACCTCCAGCGGCTGATTTTCGCGACGAGCTTTAGAGGTCGGCGTTCGAAGAGGATGTAGTCACCCATTCGGAGGTTCAGAAACCTAGTCAGACACTGGTCGCCTTGGGTGCCTCCCTTTAAGCAAGGATCCTACTTTGTCTGTGGGTCTGCACTGCAGGTGGGAACAAGCACACTCGGAGTATGGCAGGCTTCGGGTCTTTGCTTGACATCCGTGCCTCCTTTAAAGACGTGTGGGCTCATGGGGCGGCTTTTTGAACTCACTTTTGGCTTCCCGCTTCCATCGGCGGAGATAGGTTGGATGCTTGGGACCTTGAAGCTCTACCACGTTTTGGGCTCAGAGACAATGGGCTTCGCTCAGGGAGAAGACTATGTAGCGACTCTGAGCACTACGGATGCAGGGCTCTGGTAAAAGGGGTTTCGCAACCTGGAGATTAAGGGTAGATCCCCACCCTCAGCCTGGAAGCCCTAAAACCATGCAACCTCCGGACCGGGACGGTAACCAACTCGGAAACTCGAGTACTTTGCCGGCACATGTTTGGAGAAAGGGAGAAGGCCTCGTTCATCTCCAATTCCATTCAACATCCGTAGATCACCGATTCTCTGTTAGTGAACGGAAGCCGCGGACTATCAAGTTACTGTCAAGGGCTCTGTGATGTGATTCCGCTTAGTCTGAAGTCCTGAAATGACGACGGGGCACAGTCAGATAAGCAAAACTTGGAGTGGTCAGAAAAGTGCTACAAAGCACCACGGTATAGTGGTCTCTGTATTTCTCGGATTATACATCCTCAATGGAATGAATGACGCTACAGGTTGGAAAAATCCAGCACAGCCTCCTCTGGCCTTATTGAGATTGGCTCGGGCAGGTTTGCAATACACATCTGCTACGCAAACATCTTCTGCATGTGATGCGACAGGTGACACTGCCGCAGAACCGAACTCCTTTCAGGCTTGCTTAGACCTGATTGCTAAGCCAAGAAAGTGAATACCGCATAGCTCGTTCGGTTTGAATCTCGTTTAACATGCTAGAGCGAGAGGAGTACGAACCACGCGCTAGCAGTTGTCCAAGGAGCTCCAACCAAAAGCGATACCTCTGTCAAGGGAGCTACGTCGCTCGGATCGCAGATTCACGAAGCATGGTTCTTCTGGCTCTAGCCAGCAACAGTTGGACTTTACGCAACGGCCGGATGTGCTTTGCTACCAGTACACGCAACTATGCTTGCCGTACTTGGTTGCCTGACACTGACCATGTAGGAGCGGCTACACGCCAGGCTTTCGAAAAATCAAGCCCAACTTAGCCTCGGCCCTGATTGGGCACAAACCCCTCGAAGCAAGCTGAAACAACACCCACAGCGCAATGAACCTCAAGAAGATTTGCAATAAAGCGCAAAGCCTTGACTAAATCATCTTCGGCCAAACATGGCCTCCTACCCGAGTTCGTCAAGTGCAAAGCTCTACCCCAAAAAAGCGACATACTCTGGAGAACTGCGAACATGTCTCCCAAAAGCAGAACCCTCAACGCAGCTGCAGTCGGTTGGCCGCGCGCGGTCCAACATGCCTCAGACGAACAGTGCTGCGCTACGCATGCATAAGCAGTTCTATGTATGCGCAAGCCTGCTAGAAAACTGCTCGTGTGCATATATGTCTTTGCACATGTAGGTGAAGATTTGCAAGATGATGCGTTCCATATGTCAACGTGCGTGTAGCATATCTGCATATCTATTTGTCTATCAATATACGTATATGTAGATACAGATATACACATGCAAACTCCTATGCTTGCATACCACCAAGCAAGAATGCTGTGTGTCCAGTTCAGGACATGCATCCTTGGCGGTTGCAAGTCTCGAAGCTGCAGGGACGAGAGAGTCGAGAGAGGGCCATGACTATGCAAAGCAGCAGTGGCTGCTAGCTTGTTGAGCTCCCATACTTGTGATTCAGGATCACGGCTCAAAGGCCTGGACAATTTCAAACGACACGAAAGCTCAATTATGTGGAGAATAAGGACGCAATGCAAAGCCCAGGGCACCGATGATAAAGGCATCGGTGGCAGCCGCCGCCAAAGCTGCAGACTTTGCAAGGCTCCGCCAAGGCCTCGCAGCAGCTTCAAGGGCTGAGATATAATGACGCAATGACCCACATGCTGCGTAACGAAATAACCGATTGGCAGACTTGCAAATTTGAGCGCTCGGGCTTCCACTGAAGCTGATTTCAAGATTTCAAGATTTGTGTGGAAACGAAAGAGCTCTGCTTCTGCAACCTGGTCACAACAACAAGAAACAACAACTGCTGCTGCTGGTACAACATACAGAACTACGTACTACAGTTCTACTGCAGTACTACTACTACAGTACTACAGTACTACAGTACTACAGTACTACTATACTACTACTATACTACTACTACTACTACTACTACTCCTGCTGCTGCTGCTGCTACTACTACTACTACTACTACCACTGTTACCACAACTCCTGCGACTCCCGCCTCTCCTGCCACTCCTGCTGCTGCTGCTGCTGCTGCTGCTGCTGCCACTACCACTACGACGACGACAATGACGACTACTCCTTCTCCTGCCACTGCCACTTGTACTACTACTCCTACGACAAGGAAAACTGCTACATCGTACTGCTATTGGTGCGAGTACGACTAAATGCTCAATCCCCTGACGTCCCTGATCAGAACCTCTCAGAAACAATTAACACCCAGGCTCGGTGTGTCGACAAAGCCCGTCTTGTCGCTGCCTCGGCAAATGGCGGGGGTCTAATGTATTGCAGCGGGCAGCTATCGCCCTCCGCATCGCAGAATGGCGTAGCTGAGGACAAAGCCGGTGTGAAGTGGGCTCATGGAGATCTCGGTTATCCTTGGAAGCCGCATCACTTCTTGACCAATCCAGCTCTGGCCAACCGATTAATCTCACCTCCAAGCCAGCTGCTCAACCGAAAATCTGTAGACACTTCTGCTCCTGCATGCGATAAGCCGTCTTGCAGCAACTGAGACAGGCAGAAGGAATCACAGATTTCTGAGGACATGTGCGATGAGATAATCACTGGGTGACCGACTTTGTCAATGACTTCTCGCACATCGGGTCGGTGCCCGACCGCGGGTTCAAAAAATGCAGAGACGAACCACCCGAATTGCGACAGCAACAACCAAAGACAAATGCGCAAGCAACCGAACAAGCGGCTTGTGGAAAGCAGCCAGGCGATTAAAGCAAGTGGTCAAAACTCATCACATGCAACCCGAGTTGAGGCAAAGAGATGCTCACCATCAGTTTTTAACGAACTCACCCCATTCGCTTAAGCCGCTTGCCCACGTCCCGACTCGCTATCTCACTCCGCCTCGACACATGCACAACCAGTGCCTGAAACTAAGAAGCGCTCTCAACACTGACACCAGTGTAACCACGGAAACTCATCAAACTTTCATCTGTGCACTGTAGACATTGGCGTGGTAACACAGATAACATGACAGGAAGAAGTGCAGCAACAGCTAACGAACAACTGCACTTAGACATATGTATTTGCAAAGGTCATAACAAGATGTCGCAAATATGATAGTTGGCAACTTAATGCAAACATGCCAAGATGAAGAAGCCCCAAGCTGCCATGCCAGGCGTCGCCATCTCGTCTCCCGGTTGACGAAAGTCCGTCACCGTACCAGTGAAAAGGAAGAGTGGGCAGTAGTCGTTGTTCTTGACATCAGACCTCTGAAACAAGAACCCCGAAACTAAGCTAATCAGAAAAAACAACTCAAATCTCCCGTTGCCGCCACTGCTCACCAACAACCCACTACTCCTCCGATGACTCACCAATATCCTCGCTGCAGTAGCGCTACACCGCAGAGAGTTGTGCCGCAGTCTGGAAACAGTTGTAGCTCTCATCGTTTATGAGGTAACATGAACGGAATCCATGGTGCCGTTGAAGCTAAACTGACTTGGCGTCGCTGACGTCGCCCGCTCAAATTACAGTCTCCTTTCTCGTGAAACTCAACAGTAGTCCAGTGCCCCGTGCCTTGCAGTTCAGGGGCGGGTTGCATTAAGCCAGCGGTTTTATGATCGACCTGTCTGGTTTCTGGCTTACCTGCCATACGGAATGACGAACGTGACTCAACCACGCTCTCAGGCAACTCTGAACTCTACCCTGGGCACCTGGGTCCAAACAAACAAAAAACAACTCAATCCGCATATGTAGCGGACCAAGCCAGGCATTCCAAGATCCAAGTCAAACGATCCGGAAATCCCAAAATTAAAATGGACTTGTGCACGTAGCCTTAAAGCACCAATGCAGATGTCTTGTAGCTGCCATCCAAAGGCCATGTCTGGTCCTTGCCGTGCTCGAAGTATGCCTTCTGGAGACCTAGGCCAAGAAAGCACATCTCGCTTTTTTTGGCTTTCGAACTTGTGGGGCAAATGGCCTTTGCTAGTATCCTTAGGGTTGGCGGAGCTCGGTCGGGCAAGGCCTTGATGGTGCTGAACATGGCTTAGTTCATGACGATCAACGCGATTGCCAGTACTAAGGCGACTTCCGTGCTCAGGTCGCCACACTGCTTTTCTGCGGCTTGCATTGCTGTAGAGAAACTGTTCTGCAGATGTCCAAGTTTATGCCAGCAACACCTGAAGCCGTAAAACCATGACCAGAAATCAAGCAAAAGGACATGCGAATTCCAAAGCGGAAGTTCTCTTTCCTGAAAGATGCCTCGGCGAATGTACAAAGACGTGGTACTCGACAAATGATTAGGGTCCACCCTGCCACCCAGCTTTGCATTCTCAACCCAGTATTGATAATCGAGGCATATTCCATAGCTTTGACAAGCCTGAATCCCTGTTCAGGGCTCCCCAACTCCGTGCATAGAAGGTGTGCGACACGGAATGCAGGTGGTGATAGAAGAGCACGATGACGATAGCGCCTGGGTCCAATGCGGGTTGCCGGGGAATACACGTGTTGAGGGGAAGCGGTTAAGGGCCAGGGCTTCCCACGGTTGTCAGAACTTTGACAACATCTACACTCCACACATTATCAAGGTGAGGCCCGGGGCACGGAATGATTCCCATCCTGCGTCGAGGCTTGAGCGGGATTTGCTCTGTAGCATGCCGAAATACTGCTCAGAGTCAAGAAGGACTGTTAAGCCGAGACGTTAATGATTCGATTGCAGGTTGAGACAGCTCATCCTTCGGTTCAGTGCCCCCAAACCAAAACACACCGGTTTGCACTATCAGCAGCTTCATGTTCTTGGTCTGCTTCCGAGAAGCAAACGAACGTGGCAATGCCAAAGCCAACATACCAGTCCTTGTGGCTTCACGTACCAACACTTCTACCGAGTCTACTTTCAGCTGTGATTCATCTTCCTGCATCCAGCCAGTTGCCGAGCCATCACAAGAGCCACAACATGGCTAGACAGGGTTTCCCCTTGTACTCCGAGGGTCGCTCGACATGTCCCTTCAAGTGCCGCTACCTTCTCGGCAAGCCCATACAACATGATTTTAGGTTGGTATTACTCGGATGCACGCAGTAGGGCTGGGAAGCCACTATGAATCTTCGCACAAGTTCACGGCACAGAAGCAGGCAGCAGTTCGAAACACCACTGACTCACAACCCAGAGGCCCGAAATGCGCGAACGAAACGCACGAAGCAACATAATCTGCTCTTCGGCGTCAAGGTGCTGACACAAATGGGACCCGGAAAGGCACGAGTTCCAACACTTGCGGGCAAAGGCTCATGTGGTGGACCAATGAGGCCAAAAAAGTAGGTCCTGAGTCTGCAGGCTCGCCTCTCACCCAGCATCCCAAGTCTTGTTTTGCCTGCAGCCTGCGAAGATCATGATATGAGTTTCTGAGACGACCACGATCTCGAGAGTAGCCAGTAGACACTCTTGGGCACTAAGTGGCTTTACTAATACAGGAACCATGTGCTCGGTTTTCAATCCCTACGCTCTATGAGCACAAAGCTCTAAAGCATCTCCAAAAGCCCGATGCCTCTGCATGCGTAGGCGATCAAAGAAGCCTTTGGAGTGCTACCTCCTTCTTGAGCGTCGCTCGGATATGAAGACAGTCGGATATTATGCCTCAGACATTATCGGGTTTCCTGTAGCTTCGCATGCTCCCACAGCCTGTGGGCCTGAACCCTGTGCATTCTCACGGGGACTGTGACTCCTTCCGTCGGAAAGAATATCCAGGGAACACTGGCGACCCCCCGAATTCCGTACAATAGTGCACTCCAGACCAGCCCAAAAACCGCGATCATTGAATTGTCATTAAAACTGAACATCGGGCTGGACTTAGGATGGATACGCACCTGAAGAGTGAAGCTAAGGCGAGATTGCAGATTGCCCCAGTCTGGCTTCCCAACTCAGCGTATGATTCACGACAAACGGCTTGCTCTGGCAAGGCATCTGTTCCGAAAACGGGTCGAGTCCGTCAGAAGTCAGCATCAAATGACAAGTAATTCGCAATTCAATGTGGCTTAATGTGATGCTATAAAGCCCACGCCCCAACCTATGACAACTCTGAGTGCTCGATCATGCCGACACCGCGGCCGCTGCGTGATGGGCGAGAAAATCCGATGCTGGACCACACAGCCCGTCGCCAGCAAAGCGCTCACCTGGGCTCTTGTTCTGTCGGTAGACAATAAAAACCTGTTAAGAAAATTTCAACTTGCCTTGCTCGAAGCCAACTCACAACGAATTCTGGCCAAATTCAAGTTAATTCCTCCGCCATCTGTTCGAATGGAAGGGCCGGAGATCACAAAAGAGCAATTTGTTCTTCAGTGCAGCCGTAAGCAATAACCCAGAAATACGTCTGTGCTGCTATAGTGGCCGGGCCCAAGAGGGACATTGCCCGAAGAAAGATGCCGCGGATAAACGGGTTGAGGACAAGAGCCAATATCCTGAGCTTGAGGATGTTTGGGGGAGGGAAGTTGCCCCTGTCTTCGGTGAAGGGATGTGGCTGTTCAGGGAAAGTCTTATGCTTACCCGTGGAACAATATTCTCAAAAGGGTACTCGGCACCGCAGTTGTTGTGATGACCCCTGGTTAAGAGTCATACGAATGAACTAACTGCCTGCCGCTGACTGAATACCACAGCACCTCCTGCAATTTGACGTTTTTAGTCTCAGGATTATACTTATGATTCGTAGTCAAGTAGTGGTACGAGTATGACTGTGAGTGCTGTTCTTAGTACAGGAAATGCTGATAGTAGCAGTAGACTGGTGTTGGTGGTGGTGGTGGCGGTGGTGGTGGGGGTGGGCGGTGGCGG